AGGTCAAGGTCAAAGAGTCAAAGTTGTTGGTATCCAAAGGAAGGTCTTGTCACAAGTATTACTCATGTGAAATATGACAGCCATAGCATCAATTGTTCAAAAGTTATGGCCAAGTTAAAGTTGGGAAAAATTTTGCAAAACTGGGTCAAACTCCAAGGTCAAGGTCAAATGGTCAATTATGGTGGTACCCGAAGAAAGGTCTTGTCACAAGGAATACACATGTGAAATATGAATCAAAAGTTATGGGCAATGTTAAAGTTTCTTTTGCGGACAAACAGACAGACAGACGGACAGACAGGGCAAAAACTATATACCCCCGAATCTTCGATACGGGGCATAAAAATGATACTAAGGATTTTTATTGCTAGGGTTCGAACCCCACGAATACCACATTATTTTTTAATGACAGAATAATTTTTGCAAATATAATTTTCCTCGGAGAAGTTTTGTTTAACACAATTTCATAATTTCAATAATGAGAACTTGATTCTAAATGCTAAATTCACAGATTGAATATGATTTTTATATATCTGAAGCTACATGCATTCTGCGCGCCTTGTTCTCCTTTAATTGCTCACAAATATTTGTTTCAATGCATTAAGTTTGCATTAATAAAGTTAGGAATAATTTTAAGGGGGGGGGGGCAAGAAAAGGGGTTAAAAGTGCTCAAATGCCGTAAAAGTTGGAAAAGTAAAGATTAGAGTTGGCATTACCAACTTTAAAGTTGGAAAAATCAATATTTAAAGTCGGATATTATTAAAGACTGAATGTTGGATTGTAAGACAATATCTAAGGTTGTTGCAAACTAACATCTGTCTCGGGTTATATTTCATGCAATGTAATTCAATTAAAGATGTTCCTATTTGGGAACATAATGATAGGAAACCTGAAGCTCTTGGCTTCTCATATTTCCTTATCGCAGAGATAAAAACAAAACAAAACAAACAAACGAAAATATCCCAGTTATTTAAGGTGAAAATGTCATTTCTGTAATTACACAATGATAAAACAAACAAAATAAAAAAAGATGAAAACAAACACCTGTGTGGTTTTGTTGTCTATGTCAAATTTATGCATGAAATACATGTATAGAGATAACGAACAGTAATCAAGCCCAAAAGTTAATTGAACAATACAAATCGGGAGCAGAGCAAACACAGACCTAGCTCTTAAAACATCAGAGATGGGATCAGGTGCCATTGAGGAGTAAGCATTCCACGCCGTATGCTCATTGTTATGATCGGCAAACGGTAATTCCGTATAGACAATTCAGTGTTTAAATAATGGCCTAACAATTATAGTATGAAAAACATCAGTCAGCATTTGACTTGATGATAGATTGTCTTTGCTGACAAGGTCATTGTATCGACCATAGAATGTGAGTAATGATGACTTTAAACGAGACTGTTGATATCCTTGTTTCATCAACTTGTTTGTCTGTTTTTGAAATTTTTCGTACGTGGAGCATGCTCTTGTGTATCGAATCAACTAGGAGATTTAAACCCCATATACAGGTAATAAGGGTATATTGCTATATAAGTAAGGGAAGCTGACGATAGAAAAGTTAATTGAGTTCATTCCGTTTATCATAAGGTTTTGTTGTTAGGTTACCATTAACGTCTTTATCTAGTAAAATATCCAAATATGAATGGAAGTAACTACAGTTGTATTGTTAACTGAAAACACGTCGTCGATATATCTAAATGTCGAGTTGAAGGCCATATCAAGGCGCCTTTTTTCATGTAAAAGTTTGCTTCATATGAATATGCGATTATCCATGGGAATACCGACAGATTATTGGAAGATTTAATCTCCAAAAACTACGTAGATATTTTCAATCAGAAACTCAAGCATCTCATATTTACTGAGTACATGTGTGTGCAATCAGAGTGTTTTTTTTAACAAAATAATTTTGCAAATGACCAACGACAAGGTAAGTAACCTTGTAAGTTTTACTCCTCAAATATATTGTTGTACAGTACTCCTGAAGTTTTTATTTTAGTTAGGAGCAGAGAAAGAGGCTTGGTAAAACATTTACTGGAACCCGCTATGTATCTTTGTTTGTAAGGATTTTTATTAAGTTTAGGAATCCAGTGTAGATATGCATGGTAATTCAAATTCACATTGATTGTTGGGAATGTTAAAAATATTTAAAACTGACATATGATCTTGAAGAATTTCCTCCTTAGAAAGAGAATTATATATGGACATGTTGGATTATCACTTGTAGAATTCAATCCCAGTTCCTCTAAAATACAATTAAAATAAGGAGCTTTACAAACAAAGAAAAATTTGTCAGCTGCTTTGTCAGCTGGGACCAGTACATACTGATCGTGTAACATATATCTAATTCTTCGCGGTTTATAGAGCGTAAACTGTCCCGACCCAGGTTATACAGTATAACCTCGGTAACAATTAAATTCATTCTTTAAATAACTGTTGGTTTTATACCAAAACTGGGAATCTGAAGACTGCACTTATGACATATGTTTAATTAATATCCCTGCGTGAGAATTCTCCGAGGGACACCGTTTGAACTCTTTTGAGTCTGTGTCCCTTATAGACTCAAAAGTGATGCATCTTTGTCACAACATGGGACTCCGTTTTTTTCCTGTAAACTACTTGTAGCAAGTCATTTAGGTTTATAAAATTAAGTTAATGACTCACAACTGTAATTTTTAGATGACGATGGAATTCTACATGTATATGTAAATTTCAAATGTACACTTAGAAATTATTTATTCAAGGATTATATAAATAGGAGTGGAATTCACGACTTGTATCACATTCTGGCGAAAAGCTAAGTTGCTATTAATAGCACTTTTAAACAAAATTTTGGTCAGTAAAATGCCTTAAATTACTGAAAAATTTGGAGCAGTGAAGAAGTCTTACACATTTTCGCATATCGTTGTTATGGTCAAATCAAAACAAGAATTAGTACCTTTGATTCTGTAGGATCGTGACATTTTCTTATTCATTTTATTCTCACATACCAAATTTAGAAGCATTAATGTTGTGCATAATTTGAAAAGATGTGAACGAGGTTACAAACACACAAAATTTTATTGAACCCGTCATTAAAATCAACTCCCATCAGTTCTTTCAGTACTTTGATTTGATAAATTGGTTCTTTGCTGAACCAAGTCCTGTCATTGGTATTTTGTTCATACTATTCTAAATGTCGAAAAATCCAAAAGAGGTTATAATTTTGAAAATAAAATTTACCCATGGGTTTTTAAGGTTGAAGGTCAGATAAATGAGACTTACTGATCATAGATTTAAAGTTTACCGTGATATGCATTCGTGTGGTTAATTCAAAGTGTATTCCATTGTATATTTTAAAAGTAATCAGTATTTGGGGTTGTATTTTTATTACAATTTTAAGAGCATGAAGTCAGATTTATTTTTTAATACCAGAGAATGCCCCCATAAAAACTCCCTATTCTTATGCATGCTTTGTGGACAGATTGTTTAAGCTCATACCGATTTTTTTTTTTTTTTTTTTTTTTTTAGAAATACATTTTTAGTTTAAAAATGTTATGACCCATATACACGTACAACACCTATTTTCTCTATACAAATCTATGTGTAAACTAATAGTAGCCCGGATTCTTCAGATAAGGATTCCAGAAAAGACTTATATTAGGTTTAAAAAGATACTGTTGTTTTCTAAAAATCGAACGGATTTGGGCATTTATGAAGAATACGGAGAAAATGATTTGAAAGAATGCTTGTTTTTATTTTATTTTATTGTATTTCTTTTATTTCATTTCTTTGAAAACTACCAGCCCGGAACGTAAAACAAAGATTCAATTTTGTGTGGCCTAATAGAGAACAAAGTAACGCTTGCCTGTATTACCTTAGCTATGCTGTTTATCTTTTAGATAAAACATTTTATCGTTAAAATGATATTGCCCTACGGACCCGGTGAGGGCTTGTCCAGAGACACAGTTAAATTATTCTATTTGTCTTAGTGTTTCGACCAAATATTTTTAAAAAGTGGGATACATGGAAAATGTTGTATGTATATGTACAAAGATATCAAAGTATACAATTAAAGGGACAAATAGGTCAAAAACTACAAGATTTCGTTGCTGTTAGACAAGGTGAAAATTCGCCACCCTTTCTATTTTCATTGTACATTAATGACTTGGAAATTTATTTACCCAGTGTCATCTCAATATTTTGCTCTCATACTTGGGAACTGCACGCAACCACCTGAATTGTTTCGGAATTTCATTCCAGATGTAGGGAACTTAAAACATACCAAGGTGTAACATTGATAGAGTCAGAAAACTGTTACCGGGTATTCTATTGCAATTATAAAGCATTTTCCACAGGTGCTTGTGGAGAAGACCCCCACCCCCCGCATACACCCTCCGAATCCAAGGACTGTCTTCTTTCATAAATTATTCTTCTAGCAAACATTTACATTGTATTCCATATGGAAATTTGAAAAAAAATAACGCTTTCCTTAAAAAAAAAAAAAATCATACCCGCGGTATCATACCCGGGTGAATATTCGGGGGGGGGGGGGGGGGGGGGGGGAGAGGGGTTCTGTCCACAAGCACCTGTGCATTATTCTGGAAAAAAGCTTTTTTTCATTCTTATAAGAAAAAGATTCTACTTTGTTTAGTGACTATGATATAATACAGAAGTGGTATAATTACAATTATTGGATGTTTATGTTGAGAGCCAAAATATGGCAATAACAAATTTTTTTTGTAAACCAATATTTTTCAAGAAACCATTATCATAGTGATAATGGTTTGCACCCCCCCCCCCCCCCCCCCCCATGTATCAAATGTCTACAGAACAACGTTTTGGGTAACTTCCTTGAAAACATACCCACAAGGAGGACAATATTAATAAAGGCATTATATTTATCCACAATGATAGGCATAAATACCCAGGCATGTTAATCATTATTCATTTTCCAATGTTGTACATGTTATGTAATTTCCATTTTATTAACAAAATACAAGTAACTATTTTAGGAACACTTTGCATTCAATATTTTATTCTTGTTTATTACATTCATTCAATAAAATACACTCACAGATATTCAAATAATAATATTTACAGGTAAGGGAACTGTTTCTTCCAATTTAAACATTGCCTGCTTCAGTTCAGTTTAAAACCATACAGCAGGATATGCCTGTGAAAATCCTTTACAATTCATTATCTAAAATTATAAATGGAAAGAAAATACTGTGGGTTGCTGACATTATGTGATAGTTATACAATAATTGTCTATTTCATATTCAGTATTGTAACATTTCAATTTATAGTACATTTACCCTTTCTTAATTAAAAATGCAAGCACACAACTGAACATGTTTGCTGTTGGATACATTATTGGCAAAAAAAAAAAAAAAGCCCAATATCATTCGGTGATAAACTTAACAAATACTTATTTCAACAACATATATTGAAATTTTGTTGGAGACAGTTCAACAGCAAACTGGTAATAAACTGATATTAGGCAATAAATATTATCCTTTTGATAAAATCGGACACAACATTCAACTTTCTTTTGCACATCATTACAAACATACATGCCAATTCACACTACCTCACAAGGTTTGAATCACACTTCTCTAAACTTAGTATGATCAAATAAGCTTGAAAAAAAAAATCATTTTGTCAATATGGAAAAGTGGAATGTGTCACTTCATTGTGGATAAATATCAAAATTCAGAATTGTTGATGGTTAAGAAGAAAAGTTTTTTTTTAAAGCAATATGTTACATAATTGCATTCCTCAAATCCTGGACTACAAGATGTTTAGGCTTTTCATACATTGACTTAAGGAATAATAAAGCGAATGTAGAAAGTCAAAGACAAACTGGTTAAAGCCGAAGCTTCCTTTTTCTGCTGAAAAACCTACTGTCTTATTATCAAATAATATAAGGTTACAATACTCAAAAAACGCTTAGTAATTAATAACATCAGTGAAAAGATTCAAACTCTAAGTAATAACAATGTAAAGATGCATTTTCAGAGCATTAGAACACCTTAAAGAAATGGTGTTAATTGGATCTTCATAATACTCTATATAAAAATACCATGCAAAGCAAAAATATATAATGGCAAAGCACCTTACATATGAACTAGACACGTCAAGAATTGCAGTTGCAATAAAAGAGGTGTTTGGCAAATAGAGCACTTTTTCTAAAATCACAATGAAAATATTCTTTACATGAATGTATGTGACTGTATTGTAGATAAACATGGTATTCAAAGCTATAATTTTGATATGTGGGTATAATGATTCATTAAAGGGTTAATCAGATTGTCATCATGGAAAACTCCAATTTCTCTCTCAAAAGAGAAAGAACTCCTTGAGTTAATTAATGTCATTAAATACATAAGTCAGGTTTGATCCAATATTGACATTTACTGGCACATAAAAGAGAACAAAGATTTTTCTGACGAGACCAACAGATAACACTTCATAAAATCATAAAAAGGGGTCAACAGTGATACAAAGTCAATTTTACGGAGCATTAAAAAAGGAGTTAAGATTGACCCATTCTCTTTAAAATCGTCACAATATAAATAAACTCTTTGAGTCATTTACATATCTTAAGTCTTAAAATAAAGATAATGCCTTACAGTACAACTGTTTTCTAATTAAATATTTTTCATTCACACTCAAACTTAAAACATCACACCTTGTCAAATTTTCAAAGTGAAAATAAATACATTTTTGACAAACACATGATTGCACTTTGACAAGCATTAAAAAATTGAAGAGACTTAAAAATTGGTCCATATTAGAAATCTCATCATGAATTCAGACAAATCTGTAGCTGGCTGACTTTCCTTCTTAATAATTACAATAAATACAGAAGGTCAATACACTCATAAGATAACACAACAGGAGTTAGTCTTCCTTGCCTGAAATAAAATACAAACAAACAATAAAAATAAAGGCTAAATAACTGGTGCGAGTTGGTAACTGTTTTTTTTTAAACTCTAGTTCCATTTTTTTTTTTAACTGTTTAGATTTTTTTATGCACTTGAATGAAATGTCTGGTTCAAATGCCAGTAGCAATATCTGCACTTCATGTCAAATAATGAAACAACTTTTCACAAAAGTGTATTTTTTAATGAAGCACTTATGCATTATATGAAATGTGTCCACCATTTACAATCAAAACTCATTATCTTGATCTCGATGGGACTGAGAAAAAACTTCCAGATATCCGAGGATTTAAGATATCAAGGATAAAATACTTAAAACATGTTGTTGGGATTTCCAACTTCAACATATCCATGGTATTCTAGATATCGGTGTTAGAGATACCAAAGTTCAATTGTATGTGAGAACAATTAACTTTCAGGTCAGTTTGATATTGCTGAGTAAAAAGAACATCTGTTGATTCAGACCCTAATTCTTCCTCTTTTTTTTCAAATCCATATGTATTTTTCATGTAGACATTACATAGAACATATGGATGATACTCTTCATTAATCAATTGAGCAATTGCAGACTTACTGTTTTGTAAAAAGCTTTAGACTGCATGCTGAGTCCCTCAGACTTTTCTACCAAATCATTCAGCTTCTCTTCTCTCTCTAGGATCTTTTCTATTGTATCATACTGCAAAAAAATAAAGCAAACAATGACAATTCTGACATCATTGTTCATCAAACTTTCAATATCACCAACTTTAAGAATATCACTTGTCTCTACTAAAACAAGAGCACCTCTAAGAGGAGCATCCCCTCGCGCCAGGAACTTCACTGGTAATGGCAATGTCTCCATACGAGAGAAAAATTCTCTCGAGGGATGTTAAACAAGACACAATCATCTAGGCCTAGTATTCAAGGGTACCCAGTATTACTATATAAAAGAGATGAGTGAACAAGGCGCGCAGAATGCCTATAGCTTCAGATACATAACAAAATGTGTTTGTGAAACACTGATGCCTCCGTATGGCAGCTTATGGTGAAGGTTACAGTTTCTTCAAATGCAAGTCAAAATCCAGGCCAAAAGATAAAAAATGTTGATACCCAAAGAAAGGTCTTGTCTCGAGGAATAGACCTGTGAAATTTGGAAGACCTAGATACAAGTGTTCAAAAGTTATGGCGAAGGTTAAAGTTTTTTAAATAAAAGTCAAATGTCAAGGTCAAGGTCAAAGTGGTTGGTATCCAAAGGAAGATCTTGTCACGAAGATTACATATGTGAAGTATGAAAGCCCTAGCACCAACCATTCAAAAGTTATGGCCAAGGTTAAAGTTTTTCAAAAGTAGGTCAAACTCCAAGGTCAAGGTCAAAGGGTCAAAGTGGTTGGTATCCAAAGGAAGGTCTTGTCACAAGGATTACACGTGTGAAGTATGAAAGCCCTAGCACCAACCATTCAAAAGTTATGGCCAAGGTTAAAGTTTTTCAAAAGTAGGTCAAACTCCAAGGTCAAGGTCAAAGGGTCAAAGTGGTTGGTATCCAAAGGAAGGTCTTGTCACAAGGATTACATATGTGATGTATGAAAGCCCTAGCATCAACCATTCAAAAGTTATGGCCAAGGTTAAAGTTTTTCAAAAGTAGGTCAAACTCCTAGGTCAAGGTCAAAAGGTCAAAGTGGTGGTTGGTATCCAAAGGAATGTCTTGTCGCAAGGATTACATATGTGAAGTATCAAAGCCCTAGCTCCAACCATTCAAAAGTTATGGCCAAGGTTAAAGTTTTTCAAAAGTAGGTCAAACTCCTAGGTCAAGGTCAAAGGGTCAAAGTGGTTGATATCCAGAGGAAGGTCTTGTCACAAGGAATACACTTGTGAAGTTTGAAACTCTAAGCACCAACTGTTCAAAAGTTATGGCCAAGGTTAAAGTTTTTCAAAAGTAGGTCAAACTCCAAGGTCAAGGTCAAAGGGTCAAAGTGGTTGGTATCCAAAGGAAGGTCTTGTCACAAGGATTACATATGTGATGTATGAAAGCCCTAGCATCAACCATTCAAAAGTTATGGCCAAGGTTAAAGTTTTTCAAAAGTAGGTCAAACTCCTAGGTCAAGGTCAAAAGGTCAAAGTGGTGGTTGGTATCCAAAGGAAGGTCTTGTCACAAGGATTACATATGTGAAGTATCAAAGCCCTAGCTCCAACCATTCAAAAGTTATGGCCAAGGTTAAAGTTTTTCAAAAGTAGGTCAAACTCCTAGGTCAAGGTCAAAGGGTCAAAGTGGTTGATATCCAGAGGAAGGTCTTGTCACAAGGAATACACTTGTGAAGTTTGAAACTCTAAGCACCAACTGTTCAAAAGTTATGGCCAAGTTAAAGTTTTTCAAAAGTAGGTCAAACTCCAAGGTCAAGGTCAAAAGGTCAAAGTGGTTGGTATCTAAAGGAAGGCTTTGTCACAAGGAATACACATGTGAAGTTTGAAACCCCAAGCACCAACTGTTCAGAAGTTATGGCCAAGGTTAAAGTCTCATAAAATTTTGCAAAAGTGGGTCAAACTCCAAGGTCAAGGTCAAAAGGTCAAATATGATGGTACCCAAAGAAAGGTCTTGTCACAAGGAATACACATGTGAAATATGAAAGTCATAGCTCCAACCAATCAAAAGTTATGGGCAAGGTTAAAGTTGACAACAGACAGACAGACAAACGGACAAACAGACAAACAGATAAACAGAAAAACAGACAGGACAAAAACAATATACCCCCGGGATCTTTCGATCCGGGGGCATAAAAATCATAATCAATTTGTGAATGTAGTATTTAGAGTAAAGTTCTCATCATTGAAATTTTTGATATTATGATAAACAAAATTTTTCTGAGGAGAATTTTCTCTGCAAAATTTATTCTGTTATTAAAAAATAATATGGTATTCATGGGGTTTGAACCCTAGCAATAAAATCCTGAGCATCATTTTCTTTTTAAGACTATCAAGATAACCACTACTCTACACAGCTCCTGATGAATAGTGGCATTTAAATCATGTTTGTGATATGACCATTGACTAAATGGACTTCAAGTTTTTCTCGGAAAGATGCAAATGTTGTGTCAAAAAAGTGTATTTTAAAGGTAGAGTGGGTCTTTGCTCCATGTTTTTGTTAACCAAAAAATGTCTATTTTTACGCAAACTTTGAGGATAAACTTTCAAAAATATGGAGCGAAGACCCATTCATATCGAAAATTTGTGTTTTAATATGAGAAAATGATACTTTTTGCCCTCTTTAGTGTGTGTATGCTATTTCATAAGCAAATAATTTCAAGCTTTAAGAGATTTTTGCAAATTGTGGAGATTTTACATAAAGTATACTTTAATGTTAGATGAAATATCAAAGAAAATTATGTTATAATTGAAATTTAATTTTCACATTCATGTTTGTTGCACTATGGGCATTTCGCTCGCCTTGTTCACCCATCTTCTTTAAAATAAGGTAAAGAAATTAAAATGTATTGCAACACTAATTAGATTTTAACAAAATTCAAGGTGGATATCATTGGGGGGGGGGGGGGGGGGGGGGGGGGGATAACAAGCATACGTGATTGGGCAGTTTCCCTTATTCCTAGCAGAAACATATCACGTATGCTCTAAATTTCATTAATTTACCTACCAGAGTAAACCTCACAGTAGCATGCAATATGCATCAAATCTGAAAATACGCACGGAAGTAATATTTTTTTGTAGTGAAAAATGACAATATACCGGTGTTGAGATGTCAATGATACTTGTGAAAGTTTATATTTATAGCTTTCGAGAATTATGTTATTGTAAACACACACGTGTGGTGATTTGGTATTGAAACTGCGACGTTCATCAAATTATTTAAGTTACTCAGTGACAGAGATGACACTTTTAATTCATACAAACTGTCTCAAGATCAGCACAATAATATGACAATATGCGAATACAAAGTAGAACTTACCGAAGCGGCTCTATCGAAATGACCCGAATTTTAACCTGTTAAATTTACCGGAAGTGAGTATTGTCAACTCGTACATAAAATTGCAGGGTTTGAAGGTAGTAAAAATGCGATATTTTAAGAACTATTTCACCAATTAATTTGAAAATGAATAGGATTCGTCCTTTTACAATGCCACATAAGTATGTGAAGACTAAGAAATGATAGTGCAAAGGTTATCTTTAAATTTTGCCCACAAGCTGTAACGGACACACTAACACACACACATACGCACAGTAGCGATGCTATATCCCCTCCTCAACTAGTTGCGCGAGGGGATAATAAATCTGGCAATGAAGGAACTTTTTGTAAATTTAGATTAAAATTTTAATTTGTAGGTTATGTGTCTCAACATATAACAATGAACTTAATGGTAATTCAAATTATAGTATAATGATTTAACAATATACATGCTAAATCTGTAAAGTTATACATGAATGACACAGTGAATCATTGTGTAATACTAAGAATACAGTGTATGTACATATTGCATACATGTATTGATAAATTTACACTTAAACATTAACCAGACTAAATTTTCCTCAAGGACTCAGAAGCCAGGTTTACCTAGATAACCTATTAATCATTGAAATCACTGACCAGTATAATTTTTGTCTCATCCAGCTCATTCTGTATCTTTGTCATTGAATCTGCCTGCTTTGGATCTTGATACTTCTGAAGGTAATCTGTTAATTCTCCAAACTGTATTGTACTGAAAGTGAAATTCAGAAACATGGTATTGAATCTGCCTGCTTTGGATCCTGGTACTTTTGAAGGCAAACTGTTAATACTCCAAATTATATTGCACTGAAAATCAGAAACAGGTACTGTAGAAGTACTTTTTTCCAAGTGTTATTAATTTATGCGTTCTCAAATTTTCTATGGAAATTGATAAAGCGTACTAAGAGTACATTCAAAGTACATAGCGGCAATCTAAGAAATCAGCATCATTTTCTACCTGAAGATTGAACATAAATTGTGATTCCACAGAATTATGACCAAGAGGAAAAAGTACATTAACAGTATTAATACATCACATTTCAATAAAGTTGAACCATTTGTGAACTGGAAATAAATATCTTATTCGCTATACTACAAATGCTTAATTTTACATGTACATTTAGAGCAGTAAAATATTTCATTTAAATCATATGCTCAGCTTAAAAATATCTTAAAGACTAAAGTTTTTGACCAGTTGGCTGTAAAAATGTAATTAAGATATCAAGATGTGAACCTTTAAAAAGAATACAATTTCTCCTTGAAAGAAAATTTCATTGATCATCATCAGGAGCAATGTTGGTTCAGATAGTTGGCAATGTTGGCTACTACTACCAAAATCTAAGCTTACCTCTGATTGGCTGTTGGCCACTGTGGTTTAGGAACTTTATTGGTGAAATCTTCAAGAACCTGTCAATGAAGTAGAAATTCAAGAAATTATTATAATTCATTAACCTTGAATTTAGTTATCGAATATACATGTATAAAGAAACCCAACTACAGGTATAACAAATATGATATATATTATTAGGGCTAAGTCTCAAATGAATGTCTGATATGATGCAATAATTATTTTTCTCATCACAGTAAGAAATCATCTCCAGAAAAATTGTATTGGTATGCATCTATATATCATCATCTACACAAGTTCATATAAACCTCTTTAACAACATCAACATGGGCATTCATACATAGAATATAAGTGTCACTAGGTGCAGTTTCTGAAGGATATTTACCGGTAGTAGTAAGCATACATATAAATATGTTACCCCTTATAGTTTTGTTCAGTTACTTGAGAAATGGGCCTGGCCAAACTAGAGGTATTGTGAGCGAGCTCACATAATCCCCCCCCCCCCCCCCTCCTTGCAGCAAATTTTTCCAAAGTACCCAAGTACATTTTTCTTAAAGTGACCTTGAACTTGCTCAACTGACCTTGGGTCAATGTCATGACACACCTTCAGGACATAAATAATATTTGTATGAATATTTAACTTCCAATTTTTCTCAGGGGGAAGTCATGGACCAGATACTAATTTTACACTTTTTCTGCCAGTGACCTTGCACTCACCAAAATGACCTGTGGTCAAGAATATAACATGCCCTTAACTCACAGGTAATCTCTGTTTCAAATATCAACCTCCAATGTTTCTCCAATTAAGAGATATGAACTGGATAGGAATTTTACTCTTTTTCTGCCAGTGACCCTGCACTTCCCCAAATGACCTTTTGCTCCAACTCAATGTTTTGATATAATGTGTAGAATGATAATACAATAAGATATATGAATATTGTTATGGAGCAGGCCGGCCTGCACTCTATAAATCTTATGGTAAAAATGGAACATATTTGTCCATTTTGTCCCCATTTCTGAAAAATAGCACAAAATCCAAATAGTCTGTGACGTCACAGAAACAAAAGCTGCCAATAACCTACTTCAAAACTATAATATTTTTTGTTAATTCAAATTTTTTCTTACAGCACATTTCAAAAATTTTCAAAATTTGACTTTTGTGGGGGCAAAAATACACATATACCGCACATAGCTCTTTGATTTCAAGGCAAGAAATGATTTCCATAACACATAGGTCTTTAGAATACAGATTACTATTGTAAAATGAAGGAAAGACAAGTCTATTACATGTATGCCACTCTGAAATACCTTATTGATAAGAGTATGGGCTACTCTTTGAGGATATTCATGGTCTGCTATCACCAATCCAGTAAGACTATCACTTCTTACATACACATGACAAATATACTCTGAAAAATAAATTACAAAATCATTACAATTCAGTTATAATTATACAATTCAGTATTGCCACGGCCCTTTGGCACCTATGTAGAAAATGTGGAGCTTGTAGCTTTATATTTATTGAAGATAATCAAGCTATCAAACACATAAGAGTGTAGACAAATGGAGAGATAGACAAGACAAATGGACAGATAGACATGATTACTATAGACACCAACATTTTCATATGCAGGGCTTAAATGGTCACTCCTTCAATGGTTTACTGTAAACCAACTATCATTTATTAATTGTGTCATCTTTTATTTGCCATTCCTCAATTTGAAATCAATCTGCAACGATTTATTTTCACAACATTCTCTCCAAATACAAAGCAAAATAATAGTTGGTGGCGATTAATATTCCTGAGTTAAAGTAGGTCGCGAAAACCACAGATATTTCTTGCACCCGCATAAAAGTTGGTTTACAGTAGTTATTCTTAGTAGCAATGACAACCACTGAACTATTTCCTCAAGTCCATATCTGTAGTGGGATTCCCTTCTGAGATTTCTCTGACTGAAGATAAATATAACAAATCTAAACCATAAAAAATATATTTGCTTTATGACATCAGCCTTATGTTTGGAATCTACCACTAGGTTTTTTTTTAACAGAAATAAGTTTCTTACCTTGTTCTTTGACTGATGCCCTTGACCCAACAACTGTTCTCTCTGCCACAATCTTGCAAGTAAAGTCCATAAACTCTTTAACACTGAAAACAATTGATAATACTATTTAACGTTCACATTCTATTGAAAAGAAAAATAATATAGCTTAAACTAATTGAAGAAATTGGTTATTTAAAAGGAAATGTGTTGAACAGTTTAACAACAAAGTAAATGAAATTCTTCAAATGTTCTAAATATTTCTTTCTGTTTAAACTTCAACATGATTTCAACAAGAAGTGTTAAGCTGTTTTCAGTTGAGTGTCCATATTGTTACTAATTAGTTCTCAGTATCACAGGAATGTTATAAATTACTAGACTCTTAAGATTTGAAACCATAATAATCTATCACATCTATCAGAAGAAACAGCAACAATCCATAATAACTTTTTAATATATGTGAATGGAACTATCAGTAATATACATGTATATATGCTTTTTAAAAATAAAAAAAAAATCACTGTGAATTTCAAAAACAGAAATATAAAATAAAAAAACAAATACTAGGTTTTCAAAGATTGTCCCAAAGTGCCTTCCTAAGTAGGGATTCTTATCATTTAATTATTACTTAAAGAAAGAATCTGTTGAGTTCACAAAAGTGACATCATTACAAACAACAGTACAACATACACAACCTCCAGATAGGTTTTTTATAAAGAAATTCACATATATATGACAACATAGAGTCTATTTGTGATTATGTGTGTACCTTGACCGTTGAAAATATCCAAATGATGATAATTCATGGGCTGCGGCTAATGGATTCACCTTTGTTTCCCCTTTGTGAAGTACAGCTATGCAGTATATTTTCATGATGATTTGTAGTATGTATTAATGATTTCTTTATATCTCCAGATCTGGAATTTGGGGGAAAAATGTAATATACTTTCACCGTAATATTAATATTAAGCATTGTGATCATTTTTTGGAATGCATGTATATAAATTCTTCTATACTAACTTGGTAAATCAACAGCTGTGAAAAAATTTTGAACAAAAAAAGGTCTAATCAAGAATGAAACCTTGACGATTTTAATTTAAATCCAATGACTTAAGTTACAACAAATATAAAACCTAAGGAACATAGGTTAGATTATTAACGTTCGTCAACTCAGTACACAGCAAGAGATTTTTTTCTATTGACAAAAACTATATTAACATTTCATTCTATACGTACCTGTTGTCAACTGAAAATTTTGTCTTCGAATTTTCAATTATATATAGATGATTTTCTTACCATACACATATGACTAAACGACAGGTTGTCAACAATATGCTCACAGGCCACTGTCAATTTTTATTTTAGCTGTGATTTAAACCGGAAATGACGAAGAGAAGTAGACCTTAGACAACTCACCCAAGGGTTATTCGATCAAAACGATCTGTTACTTTCAATTTCTATAAAATACTCTCCCTCACACTTGCTCTACTCAAGATTCACCTATATTTTTTAAAAAGAGCCATTAATTATAAGTTTACAGATACAGGACACACGGATAAGGGAAACCCCCTTTTACTTTTCATAATTTTAGAGATGACATCTTTTCTCAGTAATATTCATCACTTTTGCCACAACCATCTCAATTAATAGCTTTCCCCTAAAAAATAAACTTTATAAAGATTTATAAGAACTACGCAACTTGATCATTTGATTCCAATAATAAATTTATGGTCGGGCCCGGGGTGGGGTGGGGGTAGGGGTGGAGGTAGTATAATTGGATGTATCTCCACTGAAGACTACTAAAATATGCTTTTTTTATGATACGTGATTATGATTGGAAAACAAACACATATTAATGCCTATGCGAGAGATAAACTGCGCTAATTTTGGCATCGGATATTTCATTTATCTAATCTAGACACGAGTACCATGAATATGCGTGGGCTTTCTGTACCTTGAAATATATATATGATAATATACTGACGATATGTCTTTTCAGTGACAGAAAGCGTCCCCCCTTTCCCCTTTTAATGACGTAGAACTTACAGTCTCAATCTTATCTCGATTTTTGGAAGAACCACCCTTTCTCATCATAATCAGGCACTAAGTTTGTTTGCTTAATAGCCATGAGCAAAGAAGAGTATGTTTAAAGAAATAATGTATTTTCACTGTATATAATCAATAGAGCCTCCCTTCCCCCATTCAATGACTCCGGTGCCACAAATTTCAGAAGAGGCACCCTTGCTCATCATAACCATGGACCTAAAATATACAGGGGAGAGACGGTTTTTAAAAGAATTTCTGCATATTCACTATATTATCATTAAATCTCTCCCTAACTAGAACCTCTGACCCTGGGGCCATAACTTTTATAATTTTGGGAGACGGCCCAATGCTTATTACAATCATTGCAACAGTTCAACTTTAACTGCTTGATGTCGATCCAGGAGTAAAGAAGAAGATTTTTAAAGATTGCATTAATTTTGATGGTTTTAGACCAACCCTATCAGGCCCCAGAAGGGGAGGGGCAGGGACCATATAATTCAAATTTTTTGTTCCTCTTCACTCATAGATGCTATATGCCAAAATTGGTTGAAATTGCTGAAAATGTTCAAATGTTAACGCACTAGGGACGACGACGACGGACAAAAACAGCAAATGGTAACCTGAAGGATCTAGGTGACCTAAAAATATTATACTAGATAACCCAACAATTTTAACTGTTTTGTGTAAAAATATAGCATGGTTTGAGACACGAGACGAATATTAGGACTAGTTCGGGAAAATGCATGTCTTTATATTGCAGTTTTTAGTGTTCCAGAGTTAGGCTTTGGGAGTAGGGAAAATCGCGGAATACAGGTGTTAAAATGTCATTCCGAAGTCTGCGAAATTCTGTGCTGAGGGCATTGGTCAGTGTAAAAATATTTCAATAAATGGATATTTTCCTTCAAAGTTGTTTTATGTTAAGCCAAGCCCATGTTATAATTTCTTAAGCATACATTTATCCCAAGTGGTATAACTGCAAGCCCAAAAAATTATATCATGGTTTAATATTAGTAAATTTATCCACAAACCTTTACTATAGAGACAAGGAAGCATCAAAGTGTAAGGTCACAATATACTTATAAATATACGATTACTAAATGATATTCTTTGTTAAGTATATACAAGGATACAGGAAACTATATAAATAATGTTTGGTAACACAATTGCTCACTGCATATGATAAAGTAAATAATACGCTAAGAAAAGAAAATTAGATATGACATTGTTTGAAAAACTTTAAAGCATACTTAATTTTTGTGAAGTAAAAAATTAGAATTGGAATTACGTATTAAATTTGAATTCGTTGCGAGTATGCGATAAAAAATAAAATCTAGACAATTTTTTTTTTACCTCTGTACATTAAAGTTTAACGATTTTTATTTGATGATCAAAGAAATGTAAAATGTTAGGGGGCTTCAAAAAGTTCATGTCTGTTATATGATGTACCAGTATAAATATAAACATGTATTAAGCTGAGTACATTTAATTCCTACCCAATGCCTTTGTCAAGAAAATTCCGTAAATGAATGCTTATTAAATTATTTATTTGCTAACGTGACCTATAGTTTACAGCCGAATACATTTTGCAGTTTATCATCAAGAAAGCGTTTTGAGGACTCTGAACTTAAATACTTTTTATTGAAGCAGTGCAATGTGAATTTGCACTACATATGGAATCCTTTTTTATTTCTAAGATAATGAAGAATTTTAACGTGGCCTCACCCTTGAGTACTCATATTATCGTGTTCTAAATTTTAAAATTACTGGATGGGAGTAAATACAAAATTTACAACCTGACAACAAGAAATCATATTTTAAATATTGTATTTACTCCTATTCAGCAAATGCAAAATTTAGAACATGACTGTAAAAAGATAACGTGATGTACCTACATGTATACATTTACGCCACATTCGTCATTTAACAGTAAATTTACTAAAATCTGTCAAACGTACCGAGAAAAACGTACTGAAAAAATCACGTGTTCGATTTAGCACGCTCGCTGTGATAAGTAGGGGTCGACAGTATCAACTAAAGACACCCTCGGTTTTACGTCATTCAGCCAGTGTTCTTTGCGTGACCATATGATGACTTAGAGATTAACCCATTTATATCATGCTTTAAATTTAAAAGATAGTTTAATTTTCTACAACGATCAAAATCTGAAAGTTTAAGAACAAATGAACATTTTAATGTTTTTTCTCCAAAGGAAATAGTTACGATAAGAATTACCAGCAATAATGAATGACAATTAATTAATAACGCGCGATTGTTTTACTATTTTCTTTTCCAGTCTAAGGACTTCGTGCTTTTACAAAATAATAAAAGAAAATAAATTCAGAAAATATTAATAATGAAAAACAAGATGAAAGATCAAAACTAGTGGTACCTAAAGGAAGGCCTTGTCACAAGAAATTCACAAGTGAAATATGAAAGCCCTAAGTAACAGCAACCATTTAAAAGTTATGGCCAGGGTTATAGTTTTTCGAAAGTAGGTCAGACTCCAAGGTCAAGGTCAAAGAGTCAAAATTGTTGGTACCCAAGGGACGGTCTTATCACAAGGAATACACATGTAAAGTATGAAAGTCCTAGCACCAACCGTTCAAAAGTTATAACCAAGGTTAAAGTTTAGTAAAATTTTGCAAAACTGGGTCAAATTCTAAGTTCAAGGTCAAGAGGTCAAATATATTGGTACCCAAAGAAAGGTCTTGTCACAAGGAATACACAAGTGTAATATAAAAGCCATATCTCCAACTAATCAAAAGTGATGTCAAGGTTAAAGTTTTTGTGGACATATTTTAACTCATACTACATCTTTAGATTCACGCTCCGTTTTCATGAGTATTGACTTGAAATACTAGTAGATATAATTGGATATCAATTTGAAAATTAAATCTGTCTCTTTCAATGCTTCGAAAGGAAAATTAATTGGAATTTTATTCATTTAAGCGTCAATATTTTTTTGTGTTTGATTCATTATGTGACTTCATTAAAAATTAGAGGAAAGAACTGCGAACGATAGTATTGTTCTGCCGAAATTTCAAAAGTTAACAAATTTGATTGATTTTTCATATTTATATAGATATTTATGTGAATTTTCATAAAACATAACTTATTTGGGAAAAATAAGGGAGATAACTCTTTAATTTTGGTAAAAATTGCGCTTTTCACTATAGAAATCAACGGAAAACGGAAAATATTTTAAAAACATTTTTAAAACACCCCCCCCCCCTGTGAAACAAAAATTCATTTTTATGGGTTTTTATGAATTGTTATTTCACAAATTCATACCAAAGCTTTTATTGTTTCACAGGGGGAAGGGGGGGGGGGGCATATGTCTACAAAACCTACCAAAATTGGTCATTTTATTATCAATTTCAAAGGACATTACGAATAAAATAACGTCTTTTATCAATATTTTATGTTTAATTTTACATAAGGTAAACATACGGAAAGTTTTAAGGGCCGTTTTCCAATTTCCATGTATTTCTGAAAATCTAGAGATTTTTAAAGCCTGAATTCAATGGATAAAAATTTCACCCCCCCTTTTGAAAAGAGTCGTAAATAAGAGCAATTAAGTTTTTGACGACGGTTTTTAAATTATTCATCAATTAATAATGAACTCTTCTTTGCATTCATTTAAGTTTTAATGGCCAAACTGCCATTTATATTGAATTAAATGGGTGTAAAATGTAGGCGGGAATCGAGAGTTAGCATGCGTGGTTCTTCAGGAGTGTTTCAAATTGGTAGTGATAGCTGACAGACTTTATGTGGATCATTATACTTTTGTGAAAAAGGACAATATAAAGATTAAGAATTAGATCTAAAATATACGTAGGCCTAACACCTATCTAACCTCCTACCTTGTTGTGATATTCAGATTTCAAAAATTTATATAGTAAATTAAGTTCACTGAACCTTTAACCTTTATGAAATACTGAAGAAGCCCACGTACACGTAAGCTGGTGAAAATTGAGTGGTTTTTCATGAGAAGTACTAGTATTAAACCCATCCACTAAACTTAAAAAAAATATAATTTTGCCAAACTTAATACATATAATAAAAGTGTAAGTAGGTCTCAAAGAGATGGGCTTGATTTAAGCATTAACTATCAAACTGAAATTTTCAATTAAAAGCAAAACCCCTCTGTCCTTAATAATCCCGTAAACAATTATACGAATATGTAGATGTAAGCCGAGGGCCATGTTGTATAAAAGAACTCACGACTATATAAACAGGATGTGTTTGTGAAACACTGATGCCCCCGTATGGCAACTTATAGCAAAGGTTA